CACCAGTTTAGAGTACCTACTAGCGCGGGGCTCGAAACTGGTCTTTACTGCTAAGATTGATAGTCCTTGTGTTGCAATAGCAGTCGTCGTTATGCTAGGGTTTGATGTATTGTTTGTATGTTGTGGAATGTGGATTGGTTTTTGCGTTTTGACTTTACACCCTGTTGGTGTTGGGTGACGACGCGTGTTGTAGAGTGGTGAGTGGTTAGCGCAGTGGATGAGGGTGTAAATCGAGTGCAAGTGATTCGAAACACGCTCGCGACCTCACTCCTGGTACCGGATGCTGTGTGTCTACCGAAATCATCCTTCAATCGGTGGATTTGAGTATTACAGATACAGATGGGAAGGTATTACGTGAGTATTACTGCTCCGCTACAACCACGGTCCGGTGCTCTCACCCGGTTCGACATGTTCTAAGTGTATATTTCTCGCCGGGAGAGCCCTCTCCCGTGCGTACCGCTGAGACGCCAGATTGACATGAGCAGCTCGAACAGCTTCTCATCGCCTGCTTCTGCGGGAAACACGCGTAGACCGCACCCTATGAAGCAGCCCGCAGATCGACCTCGGAAGCGCCAGAGGTTCACAACATCTCCTGTGTTTGTTTCGTAGATGGATATGGTCTCTGTTGTAGTTGATAGGCGCAGTTCATCGGAACTGTCGTCGAGATTGTCCGATTCTGGGTCGTTTGATTCAGAGCCGGCTGCAGCAGCGTCGATGATTCGGTATGATTTGTTGTTGATCGCGGTTCTGACGGGAGGATCGTACAACGAGATCTTGGAGAAGGCTTCGGGAAAGCTTTCGATCGGAGGTCCGTAGGACGTGCCGCCGTAGACTTGTTGTAACTGGTAGCAATGTAAGAACGGGGCCGCCGCGCGTCGCTCAGGTGTAGAGTTTGGGTCTTTCTCCAAGTCCTCAAGCATCTGTGCATACGTGTGTCAATGGTCGTTCAGCCCACCGACTCACGTATGGGCGACATGCTCACACTGGAAAGGGATGCTTGTTGAGCTTACCTGGTCGATCGTCTGGGTACGAACGCTGGGTTCTTTCCCTTGGATATCCCGAAAAACAGCATGGATGTATTCGAGGATCGGGCGGCACGGAATGAGAACGGCCATGCGCTCGTACGCGCCCCCATCCGGGGTTGCCAGAAACTTGCAGCAGGCATCACATCCTATGTACAATCGGATGCGTTATTCTCTCAGACTTTAAAGCGCGACTGCCACGAACAGAGCGTACCAAGCAGACCGTTCGAGGCATCCCTCATATCGCATTGACTCGCGAGCCGCAGACTTTCGGCGAGTATCTTCTGCAAAGTGTGCACTATATGGTGAGTGCTCGCACTCTCAAATACAATATTAGCTGAGAACATCCTGACCATGGCCGGCTCTTGGACGATAGGTACGCAAACTCCCTCATCCGGACCGAGGTGTGTGGTGCACAACACGCAGCGTGATTTACATTGATCTCTGATACACGTTTGCACGGGTTTGCGAAAGAAAGTGTGTAGGCTTCTGTAGCTGAAGGAGATGGGACGCGCGCGGGAGGGGGAGGAAGAGGTCATGGCGGTTGGTGAGCGAGCGGGATAGGGGCGAGTTCGCATCAGCGCGGGTGCCACAAGTGCAACACGTGGTTCGCAGTTTGCGTTGAGTCGCGTTCTGCATCGTAGATGACCGGAACAGCGTAAATCTGTCCAGCAATCGTATCTTACACGCTCAGATTGCTCACGAACATCAGGCGCTTGGGGTAGCGTAGTCGATGCGCGGCAGGAGAGAGGATGGAGCGGAACTATTGTGCGCTGTGCGGGAATTGCCGCGCGCACATGACCTCATCTAATAGGGGCAACGCTTCTCACATTCGCCGCCCATCTCGTCGAACAATGTCCTTCGCATACGACGAACTAAAGGGCTTCTTCCCGCCCACTGCAGAAGCACAGATCAGGGACGATTTCAAGTCTCGCTGTGTCCTCTGCACAACCAGCCTCAGCCCCGACCAGGGAATCTGCGTGCCGATTCTGAGGGACGTTCAGGCGGTCAGAGGCTTCTCGCGATCTGTTCATGAAGAGCTTCGTCCGTTGACATAGTCTTCTTAGTGGAATATCTGTGAAAGGGCACTCTATACGGACTCGTGTGAGGTCCGAGGGCCGCTGAACGGGCTGTTATGTGCGTCCTTCGACTACGCATCCCCGCCGGCTTTCTGAACAAGACGGCTGGAGCGCAGCATGCGACGACTGCTGCAAGTTCCTCGCGGACTCCGAGGACGGTGATGCTGAGCGGCTGGCTATACTCATACCATGTCTCCCGCTCCTAGTCTACGTCAACCGCGTGCTCAACGGTCTGCGCGACAAGCCCATGGAGGGCCGCCTGCAGACGTTCGACCAGGTACGGCCCACGGGTGCGTTTACCGCCTGCCATCCGAATCTCAGTGCGGTCTTCGTAGATTCTTGAAGATCTCGAGAAGGACCCGGGATCAACGACGGAGCGGCGCGCGGCGTCGCCGTTTCTGCATTGTTTCCAGATCCAGCCTCTCGACAATCTGACGCCGCGCTACCCACAAGAAACTTCTCGGATTCTGCTACGCGACGCTCCTCCCAGCTGCATCATCAACGGCAAGTCCTACCGCATCATAGACACTGCCACCGTCGACCCCTCCGACGATGCGCGTCTTCAAGCCAGAACACAAGAGATATCCATCTCCGACTCCGCTCCCGTCGACGGCGATACTGAGGTCAACCTCTGGCGCATCCCGCGACGCTCTGCCGGCCTGTTCATGGGCGTTGCGGAACAAGTATCCCCACTTCCCTCCGGCGATTCCGAACTGTACAAGTATCTCAAGTCGGTACAAGCTCTGAGCTGGTACCGACGGAGTCTGCGCACGGAGGAGATCCCCCGTCATGCGTCTGTTCGGGCGCAGTTTGAGAGGTTAGAGCTGGAGATTGAGAGTGGCGGGGTCGACGTTCTGTCCTAAGGGCCATTTCGGCAGCGTGAGTTGTGTTGAGTATAGATGGGTTCGCTCAGCCAAAATCGCCGCCCATCAACTATTGCCGGCACCTTACGAGAGGGTGTAGACGTCGTTTTGGCTGGGACAACTCAACTCAACGCAACTCAACGCGTGCTGCCGACATGGCCCTTAGCTCGAGCATTGGAATCAACGAAGGGCATGCCCCATTCGAGTCGTTCTGTGGATCAGGAAGCGTTTTACGATCGCAGAAGCTTTGCGAGAGCGAGATTCGAGAAGGCCAAGACGTGATCGTGGAGGACGATTCTTGAAGTATTGTAGTGAATTGTTGCATCCGTATAATGCCACTTGCTATTGGTTTGACACGATGTACCGGCCCGAGACGCGTCACCACGTACAGATGGCGCCAAAGTCCTGTCTTTCGTGCCATTGATAGTATCAAGAAGCGACCAGAGAGCGTAGCATGATCGCATCGCCATGTTGGCAGCGTCTTCGACACACTACGCGCCACAACAGCAGCCAGCACGTGTTTCGCGGTTCGCGTTGGCAATGGCACTCTCGTCATGATCCTGCAGCGTAGACGGCAACACGGCGTCTTCAGCACCGCACACAGTACCGATATCATCAATCAAGCGACCAGAAAGGAAAAATACCACGACCCTGAGACTCGACGACACTCAACCTACTTACCAATGCCCAACACCACCCACTCGCAGACCTCAGAGCACAAAAGCACACAAAAAACGAGGGTCCATTGAGCAGTCAACGCAAAACCGAAAAAAGCGCAAAACCTAGATCCAGAATCAAATGCCGAACACGACGAGCTAACAAGAACGAACGACGGACGATGGAACGATGGGCGATGAGTGACAAAAAAAAGACGATAGAAGGAGCGTGTCGCGACCGAACAAAGCCGTCGTATATGAAGAAAGAGCTCATAATAAGAGAGGAAACTAAATAGCTGAATCGAGCGAGCGAGCGAGCGAGTGTGGACGGGCGGGCGGACGTGGGTGTAATTGAAGGCGTTATGGGTACACGTGCGACGGACAGTTTACGATCAGATCAACCGGGGAGCGAGCGAGCGGAGGGGACGGAGCGGTGGGATGAGAGGTGAGATAGATGGGAGATGGTACCGGGGCCTAGGACGAGGGAGAGGGCAAAGGGGAGGGGAAGGGGGGTATAGTGGCATGGCATGAAGAAATGTGTATGGAATGTGCGATGAGGAGGCGGGTAGATGAGTGAAAACGGGAAACTGAGGGGGAAGTCCAATGTCCGAATTTGTGCGGTGCGGTCCGGGGTGGCTTTTGGGCCCGTCGTCGGGCCTATACGAAGAACTGCGTGCTAAACACCCACCACATCAATAACAGGGTTAAAAAGGGGACGATAAGGGGAACACGCACTGGATGCGACTAGCAGCATGCACCTCCATCTCCTCCATCTTAAAGCTATTCAGCTCCTCCTTAATCCGCTGCGCCAGCGCCGGCGTGAGCCGGCTCCACGTCGCCGGCTCGCTCCGCCGATCGTACACCTGGCCCGGGAACGTGTCGTACACGCTGAGGTTGCTGGCGAACGTGAGGCGCTTGGCGGGCGCGGTCGCCGCGCGGTGCGTGAGCGTCGGCGGGCTAGGGGCGTCGAGCGAGAGGACGGGCGCGGAGCTGTTTAGGGCGGGGCGCGAGAAGACGGATTGGGAGAGCTTGGAGTGCGAGGTGGTGGAAGGAGTGTCTTCGGCGTCCGAGGCGCCGGGCGAGTCGGTGAATGAGAGGGGCGGGAGCGTGGGCGCGTGTTGGCGGTGCAGGCCGTCGATGTGATCCTAAGTGCGCGTAACAGGTCATGTGTCAGCGGACCCGCGCTTTAAACTTAAACTTCAGAGGAAAGAGGAAGTGGAAAGTGGAAAGTGGAAGGTGGAAGGCCGGGAAAGGAAAGGAAAGGAAAGGAAAGGAAAGCTTAAGGGGGGAGGCTTACCGGATCGGGCGACGGGATGCGCGCCAGTGCGCCGGGCGGGTGCTTCGCGCCGGCTTGCTCTGCGCTGTTGGCGCGTGCGCGCGCGGCGGGCGCGGCGGACTGGTCGCCGCGCTCGAGGAATATATGTTGGTCGTAGTTCCGGGCATCTGCGCGCCATGTTGTTAGCAATATACCAGCCGTAATGGAATGATAAAGACACACTCTTCAAGATCCCCCGCTGCGGCACGAGCGTGCGCTCGACGCTCCGCCGCAAGCCCACAGCCCACTCCTCGACCTCCTCGTCCTCGTCCTCGCTGCCCTCCTCGTCCCCCGGCCTCAGCCGCATCCGCACAGTCTCGTCCCCGTCCCCGTCCTCGCCCTCGTACGCGTCCTCCATCCGGCTCCACTCGCCCTCCTCCTCGTCCAGATAGTGGCTATAATCGTGCGCAGCGGGGTCCTCGTCGGTCTCCGCGTCTTCGACCAGCACGCGCTCGCCGGCCTCGTTCACCCTGTACACGCCGGCGCCCGCGACGCCCGCGCGCGTGGCGGTGTTCTTCGCCCACGTCTCCGGCAAGTCTTTGCCGGCGCTGTTCGCCGCGGCCTCGGCGGCGCGCCGCTCGGCCTCGATCCGGGCTGCCTCCTGCGCGTTCGCCTTGAGCGTGTGTCGTCTGGCTAGCTCAGCGGCGGGCGAGAGCCCCGTGAACTCCGCCGAGGGCCGGTCGACCTCGACCGTGGCGTTCGACACGGACGGCGGCGCGACGGCGCCCTTGGCGCCCGCCTTGCCCTTCTTCCTGTCCTTTTCCTTCTCCTTCTTCTTCTTCTCCGCTACAGCAGGCGCAGCGTCGTCCGGCGGCGGCTCGTCGACGATCACGCCGTCCTCGTCGTCGTCCCGCCCCTTCTTGCCCTTGAACACGCTCGCGATGCCCGCGATGCTGTTCCGGCGCGCCATCTTGCCGAGCGAGCCGAGCTTGCGGATCACGACGGACGCGGAGGACATGGTGCTGCTGAGCGAGATGTTGTCCGTCGACGCGTTGAGCTTGGCGCTGAACAGCGCGCGCCGCTTCTTCTTCCCCGCCGCGCTGCCCTCCGGCCCGTCCTCGTCCTCGCCGCCGACGACCGGCTCGATGCTCTGCGCCGCGCTCAGACTGAGCGCACGGCGTAGTTTACCCTTCAGTCCACCGGGCCGATGTGCGCCATCACCAAAGTTCGTAGGGGGCCCACTAGCCAGCAGCTCCGAGTCGTCGCGCGACTTGCGCTTGTCGGCGCTGCTCATGCCGATGGGCGGCGCGGTGCCGAGCGGGGAGGGCCGCGGCGTGCGCGCGACGGGCGTGCCGGCCGGCAGGGGCGACACGCCGATCGCGCCGATCGAGCCGGCGGAGATGGTGCTCGCCGCTTTGGGCTTAGCTTGGCTCTGGCTGGGCGGTGGGGCGGGAGCGGGAGCGGAGGGCGATGATGTGGGCGAGGGGACGGGACGGGCAGAGGCGGTGGAGGAGCTCGAGCCTGTGCGTGTGTGCGGCTGCGGACGGGCGGGCGGGGCGAGCGGGCCGTTGTTGCTGTTGGGCGGGGCGGCGGCGGCGCGCGAGAGGCTGGAGGGCGCGGGCTGCGAGCGGCTGCGCTGTTGCTGCTGGTGCGCGGTCGGCGGCGGGGACGGCCGCTGCTGCTGGTGCGGGGGCTGGCCCTTGAGGCTGCTGGTGCGCTCGCGGGGCCTGCCCGTGGAGTTGGAGTTGGTCGAGTTGAGGGACGAGGAGGAGCCGGCGGCATCTGCGCCACGTGCGTAGGGCGGGTGGGCGGGGGCGAGCGCGGCGAACTGGGCGTGCTGCTCGGCCGTGTTCTGCCGCTGGGGCCGGCGATACGGGTGGAAGCCGTCGTAGTTCTGCTGCCCCGGCCCGGTTTGTTGTTGTTGTTGTTGTGGCTGCTGCTGCTGCTGCTGGGGCTGGCGGGCGTAGGCGGGCTGGGGCGCGGGAGGGGGAGTGCCCGAGGGGAAAGGGTTGTGTGCGTGGTGGTTGAAGGCCGGAAAGTGGGGCGGGGCCTGTCCGGGGCCTGGTGGACGCTGGCCACCCTGCTGCTGCTGCTGGAGCATCATGTGATGGTACCACTGCGCGAACTGGGCCGCGTTCGGGTCGTAGAAGCCCTGGGGCGCCATCTGAGGATAGCCGCCCTGCCACGGGTAGAACGCGGGCGGGCCGGGCGCCCAGCCCTGCGGCGGCGGGGATGACGCCGGCGAGCCGGCCGATGACGACGACGACGACTGCTGGTGCACCGGGTACGGGTACGGCGCGTGCGAGGCGGGCTGCTGGCCGGGCGACCCGGCAGGCGAAGAGCGGGCTTCCATCGACGACGGCGACGCAACAGCCACGGCCATCGAACCTGTTCGTTATCAGCTGTCTTTGAATATACTGTTTATTGTAGCTCTACGCACGTTAGTATGGGTTCAGAGAGCGGACACGTCCCTCGGTCGAGATCAGTCGGGAGGACGAGAGAGGAGGGGATGCACGTCGCTTGATGAACAACGAGAGCTACAACGAAGGCCGCAGTCAAACGAGATTCCGTCGCCACGCGCTGTCTCCAACTCACCCGCGCCTTTTCCTCCGCCCCTTTCTTTCACTCGACAAGTTCGCGTCCCGCTCAGCGTACCTTGCTCGGGTATTGGGGGGGACTTTACGAACATACATAATCTAGGTTGAGAAACACGTTCGTCATGCATTCGAAGCGGACAATGTACTGTACTACACGCATACATATCCTTGACAACAATGCCCCTTAGTTGGGAGCCAACCCTGCTAACGCCCGACACTCACGTCGCCAGAAGAAGCGAGGGCTGGTGAGAAATCTTTGGTTCTGGTCAGTAAGAGCCAATGACCCCGGCGATTAGCACGTACTCGAGTCCATGGCGTAGATCACCGACGTCCTTGTCAGTGAGCCCCCACACATCCGCTGAACGAGGGTAAGAACGGATGATGTCTTGTTCGCAAGGACCCGCGCGAGAGTTGAGGCCCGTCAGCACGGCGCGGTTGTAGGTATCCGTCGCGCCCTCGTCAAGGAGCAAAGCACAAAACGTTCCCTCCGGCACGATGGCGTGTCCCAGCCGGAGTACCGAAGTCAACGGCAGTTCCTCGTACGGTCCATGAAAGATGGCGTCAAGCGCACACGCGAGGTCGATGCCTGCGCGCTCGTGCAGGCCATGGACGCGCACGTACAGGAGGAACTCCGAGCGGCCGTCCTTGGGTTCGAGTGGGTGCCAGAAGAGAGTGACGTGGGGTATCTCATATGGCACACGGACAGTAAGATCATAGTCCGGGCTCTTCGCCTGAGCGACCGTCAGCATCATGCTATCAGGATACGAGAGAGCCAACGGCGCACCGTAAAATAGCGAGCTACGCTCTGCAGCATATTCTCGTCCCCGTTTTGAATCTCGTGCCAAACCCTCCTGCTGATCGTAGATGTCCGCGGCGGGATGAGGCGAGGAATCGTACTCCAAGCGGTGAAATATATGACTATGGACATCAGATACGTAGCCATCGTCAGTGAGAGGAATCGTACCATCGGGAGTTGCTTTGGGGAACAGTAACGACATCACACCGTCTTCGAAACGGGACGGGCGGCGAGGTTCCTGCATCTCGTAGACTGCGCTAGGCAGGTCCCTAATCCCGGAGATGCATGCTTATGAATGAATAGGACTTAAGACTATCTGCGGCGGCCAGTGCCGTAGAGCCGGACACGAGCGGGAACAACCATGGCGGGCGTGAGGGGCGGGAGGAAAAAAGCAAGTTTGGCGCGAGATACAAGTTGTCTCCTGCTCCCATACGGCTATAGTCATACACCGGAAGTTGACCCACTTCTACTCCGCGCATGCAGTCTAGAGTGTAGCCAGGCTATTCCGCAGCCTCCAGCGGGGGCATATCTTCATAGCCCTCCTCACTGTCTTCCCCATCCGACCCGCCAGCGCCGACGTGCATGTCTCCGAAAAAATGGATATTGCTGTGTCCCTGCAATTTGTATGGGTTGAGTTTGGTGTAACTGCGTTCTTGGAGGGCTCTTGCGATAGATGATATGATACAGGGCCCTCCGTACTTGTCGCACGCGGTCTGGCGATCGTCCGCGTTGCGCAGATCGTACACTTCCGGCTGGCGGGAACATTGAGAAATGCAGCCGCGGCGGTTCGTAGTCTGCGTACCGGTG